CCCATCTCGACGCCACAGAGGGGTGGCAGTGGCACCACAATTTACACATTCACGTGCCTCTGTCAAATTCAGAAGTAATTTATGCCAAATCATGCATGATTTTAAAATTCTCAATAGATTCTAGTGGAGATTTACATACCTGGTGGCGAAAGTATCATCTTGTTGCGAAGTTTGGGTGAGTATGATGAAGGGCTCATCCAGGGTCCGGTGGTAGAATAGAGTGCAGCTGAACTATAGTCCTGTGATGTGGTCATGTACGACCCATATGGACCCAGCATGTGTGAAGAAGGACCATACCCACCTCCAGCGGCTGAACTCAGATTGAGAAAGCTGCTTCCGCTTCCACCCATGGGACTCAGGCGCTCGGCTTTCAGGACTTCCTGGAGCCTGGGACTTTCCTTCCCATCATGGCTCGGAGAAGCGAAGCCATCTTTGGGGGAAGTGAAAGATGGGGTAACGCTGTTCGAGTAGATGGACGTGGAGGTGTGAGGGTGGAGAGGCGTCTTTGTGAATGGGCTGCTTGCCCAGACAGTGGATGTGGGGTTGTAGGAAGAATTTAGAGAGTGACCCGCAGAGTTGTCCAGCCACTGGATGTTTCCCAGAATTGATGGAGAGGAGTAGACTTGACGAACTATTTCAAAAGAACTAAAAAATTAACACATTTTGACAGTAGTATAGCCCAGTATTCATGCTTATATTGAATAGTGAAAGATGTTTTTAACTTTTTGTCTTTGCAGTAACAATGGAACAACATTGGACCCCACTGACTTTCATTGTATGGGCAAAAAAACAAAATAATGAGACATTGTGTTCAGCAGATTAAATGATGAGTAAATGATGACATACTTTATATTTTTGGGTGAACTACCCCTTTACATTCTTATAAATAAAGGTTCTTAATTGGTGTCTATGGTTCAATGAAGAACCTTTAATATCTATGGAGACTTTTCATTGCACAAAGGTTCTTCAGACTCTTAAAATTGTTCAACTGTTCATTGCAAGGTTCTATGGCATCTCTGTGAAAAACCCTTTTTGGAACCTTTATTTTTTAAGAGTGAATGGTGGTGTGGAACACAGTTAAACAATGGTTGCATGTCTTCACATAACTCCTACTGATGCTTTATTATATTTGCAATACCATTTGATTGTGATACATTTCACTTTTAACAGCAGCAGGGAGGAACTCACCTGGACTGTGTCTGTAAGATGATGAGGCTCGGCTCTGTCCGCTCGTGGAATAATATGATGGCAGTAAGTCAGTCTCAGAGCTGGAGTAGAAAGGCTCATCATCTTCACTGGGTGGCAGTAAACTAGGCTCTGTGGTGTAGTTTGCCAGTGGGTCTGGACTGATCAGGCTGGGGGACACCCAACGAGACTGCTCGGATGAGTTCTCCATCTTTCATGTAGGAAAAATAATGTTCAGACTTGCATACCATCTATTTACGGTATAGGAAGAATTATTAATTTATCTGAAATAAACTGAGCTCATTTTAAAAATTGATGATTGCATAATTAATTTTAACAGGTAATATTATAAATGAATACATTCTAAATTCTATACAAAAATTTTCTCAATCCTTATTAGCTGAGCAACTGCCATCAAGATGGATGGGAATACTAACAGATAGCTTGACAGGTATTGTAGACCTCCTTGGTCCACACAATACACTCTTAAAAATAAAGGTGCTTCAAAAGGTTCTTCA